GGGCCCAACGCCCGCGGCAGGGACGCGGCTCACTGCACCCCAAGAGGCGCCCAGGGCAGCCCCGGCTGCACCCCAGCGGCGGCGCCTCGCACAAACCCTCCTGCCTCGAGTTTTAGCCGCGCTGGGCCAGGCCCTGGGGTCAAGGGTATTGGGGTGGGGGAGCCCTGGAGCCTCGCAGAAATCTTCCTGGCGACGGCCTACAACTGACACACGAGCCCCCTGCAAAGTGCGTTACAGATTCCCGAGCTCCGTCCTGCTTCCTCCCATGAGGGCTGCCAGTTCGGTGTCAGCAACAAGGAGGGAAAGGTTTGGCGTGAGATATTTGGAAGCAAATCCACTCTGATACTGCCACAGCCTCCCAGGCGATGCGCCAGCTGTACGGGAGGCCATCAGAGAGCAAAGGAAACCTGCAGAACCAGCGAGAACTTTTTAATCACAAGAAACGCAGAGGCTGAACTTGTAAACAAGCCTCCATCCCCCACTGGGGCTTGTTCCCACGCAAGCCGAGGAGTGAGGATGCAAGCGCACAGCCCCGTCCCCCCGACACCAACCGAGCAGCCGCCACCCGCTGCAGGGATCTCCGGGGAACGCCCTCCCGCTCCTGTGTTTGCAGGAGCCCGGCCAGGTTCCTGTAAGGCTTCTGTACCACGTCGCAGAAGTTTGTAGTTTATTTTTATCTTGAAAACTTCAAGGGCGCCCACGTGTACTTTCCTACCCATCATGTGATGGCCTGTGCAGGATACGTGCACAGGCAGGTCTGGTGTGCAGAAAACGTCGGTCGGGTTTACATGTGGCCCCCAGCACCAAATTGCTGTGCCCTGGGACCAAGGAAAAATTGCAACCGTGCGCCCGAGCTCAAGGAAGAGCACCCTGGTCCCTCCAGAGCGTGGCTTGGTGGGATGGATGGAGCACACCCTGGGATTTCCCTAGGAAGCAGCACCATGAAATTTCTTTGGGGGTGTGTTTGGGAGGAGAAGGGCCTGTGAGGCTGGGAGAGGAGGGTGCAGCTGGTGGCCTTGTCTTTGTGGCACTGGCATGTCACCCAGGTTTCCATAGCACCAGCATCCATAACACGGGGCCAAGGGGGGGGAAAGAAGTAGGTCAGACTGGGCTAACAATACCCAGACGTGTCTATCTATGGCTCAGCCTGATCCAGGAAAGGGGGTGAAGTGGAGGAGAAAGGGAGAGGGAAAAGAAAAAAAGAAAAAAAGGAAAACACAAAGTGTCCATAGTTTGAGCAATACATTTCTTTCCCTCAGAAAATCAGGACATTTTAAAGCCACCTTTGTGTATCAGTACTGAGACTGAGACTAGCACCCACCTCCTGCCCATTTGACAACAGACTACAAGGGAATTCAAATGCTAATTTGGAGCCACACTTCTCAATGGGTCTTTATTTCTGCAGCAGCTCCAGGATCAGAGCCCTGGGGAACCAGCTGGCTGGAGCTGTGAGGATGCTAATCTCTAGACCAGTACTGTGGGATGCTTTTCCTTCCCCTCTCCATTCCACATCCTAATTTTGTTACCCCCTTGTCTTAGTTTTACTTGTTTACATTCAAGGACAAGGAAAAAGAAAAGCAGACACACTGGAGTTGTGTAACTGAAATAACTGTGGTAGTGACCCATTTTATGTGCTGACTGCAGAGGCCTCGCCGTCAGCAGCGTTTTGGTGTGTGCTGCTCGCAGTATGGTCATTTTGAACTATGTATCCACCAATGCGAAAACTGAGAAGAACATTATGAGCAGTAAGATCCAGAACCCTCTTATCTGGGTAAACATACAGTCACACAGATCTGCTGGGTGTGCAGAAGAGCAAGATCAGAGGAAGAACTGCTTTGTTTGGGGAGAGGGGGAATCAGGGGGTGTAGGTGCAAGAACATGACTCTCACTGGAGACACTGAGATGGGCTGGGATGAGGAGCGTGACTGTGGCTGACCCTTGTTGTACCTGTGGATTGAGAGCACTGTGTTTGGCTTAAGTGCTGCACTGTTGCAAAAGAGATGCAGCCATGGATGGAGGCGCAGGGTGTTCCAGACAGGCCTGTGAGAGCAGGACCCTCGCCCACGGGCAAATACTCCCTTTACATTACCACAGGCCACAGTCCTATGCTGTAGAAACCATCTCTGGATTAGATAGTGGGGTAAAACCCAAGCAAAACCAACATAGCTATCTGCCACTGTTAGCAGGTCAAGGGAGGGAGGCCAGGAAAATCCACGTTCTAAGGTTACAATTTGCCTCATCATTGGTTTTGTACCTCCCAGCAATTATCACTTGTAAAGGAGTGCCAAGAATTCCCCTTGCCCCTGGTGAGGGCAGAGTATATACAAGGTGGACAGGGCTTAACATGCCCTTTTGTGAATGCCCTCCCTCCAAAGGAAAACTTAACACATTTGCTGTGGAAGCTCTGGAAAGAAGTGTGCCCGACTCTGTGTTCAGGGATTTCCAGGATCCAAGAGCTAAAGGTAAAAGGTAGGAGGGACAAAAGTAGGGTCAGCACTCAGGAGGACTCACAGAGCACTCCTGGAGTGAGAGAATAAAAGAGGATTTGTGCCAGCAGTGTGTGCATTAGCTGTGTTGCTTTGACATTGCACTACTTGACCAGAGAAAGCTGGGTGACCCCAAACAGGTAAGGCAATGTTATCTGCAAGGGGTGGAAGTCAGGGATCATCATGTCAGCAAGGACGAAACCAGTGAGCTGCTGTGGTCACTGCTGCTGAGCCTGCGGTTAGTGAGAGGCTAAAACAGGCTCCAGTTCGTGAACATGGGTGGCTAGAGTAACAAGAGCTCACGTACTGTTACCTGTCCTGATACAGATACTGCAGCACACTCTCCCAAGGCTGGACTCAGTCACCCCACTGTAAAGTCTTTACAGCTTTACAGCTCATTTTCCTTCTGGGAGGGCACAAGGAAATGCAGACGAGGCTTGTCGCAAGGGAAGCAAATGGACACGTGCCCACTTCTCTCCTGGCGGGTACATGGAAGAACTGCCAAAGAGCTGTAAGTGTTCTGCCTGAGCGAAGAAACCTTCTCCGAGAGCAGCCTGATGAGCTCAGTACAGCACTGCACGGCCAGATGGCTTCTGGATCAGAGCTGACTCATGCCCACCTAGCTCAGAGTCAGGCAAAACATACAGATACCTAAAGTACGCTGGTAGAAGACACCTCTTCTACTGCTGTAACTGTATTCACTGCAAGGTAGCTGTATCGGTAAAAAGCAAAAGGTATTTTGCCAAATGCTATAACTATAATGATGCAAAACCAAAATGGTAACAGGTCTGAGTTATGCTAATGAACAGAAAAGAATCAGACAGGTCAACTCCCAGCTGAGCCCCAAGAGGATGCGATCACTGAGGGAGCAGAACAGGGGGGATTCTTCCATTTTTGCAGTGACAAAGGATGGTGAGTATAAGCTGTGGGTAAGCTGGTGGTATAAAGGGAAGGGTGATACATTCAAACAGTACAGCAGTGGCCTCAGAGAGGAGGGACTTGGGTATCAGCTTTTCACTAAAGCAGTGTATTTTCCAGCCTGGCTTGGCTTCTTGGTGAACTACGGATTAGAAAAGCTAGGAAACATGAGCTCTGCCCAGTCTCTGCTACAGACCACCATTTTCAGAGTAATGAATAAAGATAAAAAAGGTGAAAATCAAGAAAGTAAAGGTGAAGAGTAACCAAAAAGCCTCTTAAATTGCCCAAAGCAAAAGCAAGAAGGAGGCTGCTTTAGCAAAACTGAACTGGCAGCATTAGCAGACGATGAACGTGGCCATGTTATCTAATATGGTAGAATACAGATCATGCATATTTAATAGCATTGTTTAGCTTGTATTTGTCCCAGCATCACAGCTAGAGGCTGTTTCTAAAGCCATGAGCAGCAATAGAAAGGTTATAATTGAATTCTAGGGCTTTTGACTGGAGGTCACACATACAGACAAACATACAAAGCTTTGGTAGGGTAAGACTTCCGTGCATTCCCCATTTTCAGAGCTCAGATGATAAAGGAAGTCAGCTGCTAGCAGTATTTGTTGAGAGTTAATCAGGTTTGCAGATTAACTGTAAGATCCTGAATTATACATGCTTATATGCAAACGCGAGGAACATGCAACAGACGTAGCTAAGACATGGAGGATGAAGCTTACAATGGAGGCAGAAGAACAAATGGGTAACATCTAGCTAGGAAAGAGAGAAAGGGAAGGCACATACATCGATGGGGTCAGGAGGACAGATAATGAGTTCTGTCATCTTTTCAGAGCAGGTATTTAAACTCTGATCACTGTTCTCCCTGAAATGGCAAACGCTGACCCATAAAAGAATTATTGATAATTATTTTTTGTATTGCCATCATTTCTCCATATGCTTAGATACCTGTAAACCCCTTGAACCAGAGTTGCAGATTTTCTCCATTATTTTCTTACCCAGGAAAGAAACATAAGCAAGCTAACAAATAGAGATTTATGACTGGTACCAAACATAAATGTCCTGAGCAGGTAGCAGGTTTCAAGGAAGAGCTTTACTTTGTTCCAGCTTAACACTCAACGTGTCTACTCAGCTTTACACATCTCTCTGCAGGTTGGGCTGGTGCTCATGCTACCCTGGTGCAGCTCTCTGCTCCCAGCTTTGCTCACCATGAACTTGGAGAGAATTGGGGATGCTGCATGGGGTCTGTGTGACTATTTAGCAGATTGTTTCTCCAGTAGATTTCTACCCAGGAGGCCACCTCTTTGCCCATTTCCTACCAGATGGGCTACAAAACCCATCAGGCTGAACTTGGTTTAGATTACAGCCCTCCCAGGTTGACTTGAACAAGGCAAAAATTTATCTTCTGGGAATGCAAGTGGGAAAACAAGAGCAGCTCCTCTCCCCAGCAGTCTGGGCAACAGGTGTGCCTTTCCCCTTCGCAGGAACAGGCTTGTGAAATTCTGAAGTAGAACAAAGCTCTTTCAGAGAAAAACAAATACCTGAAGCTGCAGCTCGAGTTGCTGGCTGACACAGACAGTTCAGCTCTGTCTGCTGGAGAGAAAGGTACAGGTGTCAGGCTGGCACCATAAAGCAAAAAAGCCAGGTTAACTGATGATGCCTGAGTCCTAGAAGAAATCACAGAAGCAAGAGCTGGAAGTTTATACATGTAAAATACATAGATAGTTGTTTCCTTGCTCATGAAACCTAATAAAATACTGTATCAGATGTTTCTGATTTTTATCCTCTATCTCATTCTTTGTGAGTTCTTGTGTATGTACCACGGGACCACCCTTACTTGCAATAGCACCTACCAGAGATGGCCTCTCAGGGAAAGGGCTGCTGCTGTTAACAATAACTCCACTTGAATTGTTAATTCCTGTCATCTTTCAAACACCACATATACATTGGCTAATTATAACTCTTCGGATAACTATTTATGTCTTTGTCTGCCTCTGCTGTTCATAGTCACATTCTTCCCTCAGAAGTGGCTGTACCCAACTTCCTGGTGGATGTGTCATGTTTCAAGGCAGGGAGGTATTTTGCCTACGCTTAATAGCAATTACATATTTGCACAAAAGTCATATGACCTTTCTCTAACACTGGAAGAACATGCATGCAGCAGAACTTCTTGATGGTGCGAACACAGGATTATTCTGATTTCCTTGGAGACCTCTAAAGAGAAAACTGATTGACTACAATAAACACAATCAAGAAAATATTGGGCAAACCAGGCTTTACTTATCATGGAACATTAAATAGCAAGAAATGAGCCAGTACAGCCCGCTTCAAAGCCACAAAGTCATGTGGATCATGATGTGTAAACAACAGAGAACCCATTTTCCATCATTATTTAAATGCAGTAATGGGGACTAAGACCAGACTAATAAAATGACACATCATAAATGTACCCCAGTGTATGATTATTAATATACGTTATAAGAAGACAAGAATTATCATTAACTCACTGTCAGAAATGCAAAAGCTTCAATGGGGATTAGCAAAGGGATTTGCTTTATACTAACTGCTCAGTCAGAAACAAAGCTGTGAATAGATGCCACACCTCCACAGTCCTAAGGTCACCACTTATCTGTTCAATCACACTGGCTCCCTTACAATTATTTTAATCTTTTAGCTAATGATTCTTTATAACAGCATTTTGCAGAGGGGATTGGTCTGGTTAGGCATAGGACGAATGGACTTCAGGGTGCAGCAGACATGCGAGAAAGTGGCGATTTGTCTAACCCCGGCAGGGAACTCGGTGATTTCCAGTGCGAGATCCAGCAAATAAACCTGCCTGCATCAAAGCCCAAACAAACAGTCACTCTGAAAGCACGATCTGGAAAGGTCAGGGTTGGCAGATTTTCAGCCGCTGCGGTTACTATCCCCATTGTTTGCATTTCCGCGCCAGAGCTTGCAACAAGCGTCACTCGGACGGTGCGAGGGCAGCCCGAGGAAGGCCTGTCCCGCCGCCCAGGCCGCGGCCTGCCCGGCCGCCAT